AAATATCCACATTAAACTAGTTAACTACCTTACAAACGATCTTACATCATATGTATATTTAAAAATGTGTAAACTGTAGCAATTAAATCAAAATTTATTTTGAATTATCTGGTTATTTGTAATAGCATATTAACTTGTAACATTCTCTATCTAGTTTGAACGTGTCCGCCTTCCCTTCCTTGTCCGACGCGCTCTTTATATTTTCTAATTTTCCTCAACATGTCCCCTTAAGATTCGGGCCAAAATATCCGCGTAGTAGTACGCTGCAGGTATTTTCATTAAAGCCTTACCCTTTAGGCCATTAAATAATTATGAAGAAAGTAAAGGTTCCATTACTGCGGTACACTGCACAAACGACGGAAAAGTATTTATCTCAGATAGAACTGGAACCAAGACCTACTACTTTGACAGTCTGGCACTTTTTCAAAACAAAATGAGGTCTACAAATCGATTCTGTTTCCTCTTGTTGAATAAATGCTTCAAGGGTATTATTGCACAATTTTTGCGTAGGTTCTTTCTCGTACAGAGCCTTATTTTAATATTTTGTCTTGCTTGAACTCATAGTACCTGGTTTGATAAGATTTCACATTTCGTTTCATCTACATTGATGACTTATTTGATTCTTATGTTCATATTACGATTTGCTGATCAAATATTCATCCTCATTCCAACTTTACTAATTTTAATGTAGATATGGGCGGTCCGGTAGTGGGAAAACCTATACAATGATGGGAGAACGATTAGATACACTTCGATATGGTTGGAAAATGGATCCTGTCGCTGGCCTTTTTCCTCGAGCTCTTAGTCACATTTTTTATTATATAGAATCAATTGTAAGTCTACTTTCATATATTTTCTATTAGCCTAATGGTGACGCTTGTGTTCGAGTATCGTTCTTTATAGATGAATGGATTAATGGATGCAGGGGCAGCAGCAATTGCTAAGTGTTTGCATCCCGCATGCGGACCTCATGTGGCCATTTACCAGTTGACGATGAAGGTAGAGGAGGAGGAGGAGAACACCGAGAACAAATTCGAGCTGAAGGACCTTTTGCTGCGTCACCAGGACTCGGAGAAAGCCGTCTCCTAGGCGGAGTGGAGACCGTCCGTCTGCCGGGTCTGGCCAGACTGGTTGATGGATGAATGGATTCAGCAGCAGCAGCAATTGCTGCACTCAGGTGGCCATGTA